GCGCACGCTGCGCGTGCCCCCCCCCCCCCCCACCAGCGCCAGGGGCGCGGCCCCCCCCCCCCCCCCCCCTCCCCCCCGGCATGACCCGAAAAGGAAGAAGCGGGTAAAAGATAATGGATGGATGAATGGAGTTCTAAAAATCCTTTATTTTAGTTGAAAGGTTGTTGCACTACTTGTTTTCTCTGCTCCGTTTTCATCTGTTCGCTTAATTGTCTTTTATCCTGACTTTATTTATGTAAGCATTTTACTGAGATTCAGTTTTTTTTTATTTTCTATATTTCTATGTGGTACTTTGGTATTATAAATCCTTTTGAGTTGCACTTGTTATTTTCAAAAAACAAAGATGAGTTGACCTTAATAATAATAATAAAATCGTCTGCATTCACCATTAATCTTGGGTTGTTTAAATGCTTGAGTGACCGCCTAAAACTCAGCTGAGCATTAAGCACAGAAACACCTGAGCAATACATAACCATCATCTTACTTTACGTGCAGACTCATGCATCACAAGAAGAAGAGACGGTTTTTTCAACACGCTGTCACAAGTGCCTCACCCTGCTGTCGGTCAGGTCGTAGATCTTCTGGCTGATGTAAGTGACGTCGGGTTTAGGCTCATTGTGTGCGGCACGGCGGGAGATGTTCCGGTTGGGCTTGGACAGACGCAGAACGGAGCCCTCTAACCGGACGTAAACAGAGTGGGTCAGGGTGGCGTGGTACATCTCCGGGTCGTAGCTGTGGATCTCATTCATCCAGCCCTGAGAGAATAGGGGGAGAAGAAGTCACTTAGTTCAGTGATACAGCATTTCTGGAGAACTTTACAGGTTTTATTCACTTCAAGATTATATTAAATGCAAATTGAAGGTGAACATCATTACCGTACTTTTCGAACTATAAGGCGCACTTAAAATCCTTTAATTTTCTCAAAAATCGACAGTGAGCCTTATAACCAGGTGCACCTTATGTATTAATCCTGGTTGTGTTACTGACCTCGAACTAATTTTATGTAGTTACTGTGAATGAGTTGAATAAAGTTTGACTTATCTGACTGTTTTGTTTTGCTTAATGCGCCTTATAAATTACCTTATAGCCCAAAAAATACGGTAATTCTGCTTTATGACACTTGAAAAAATAGTTTATCCAAGTTATTAATTTTTGCAAGAAAAATTAACTAAATCAGAAAACAAATTCTTGTTTCACAAATTCAGTCTGGCACAGCAGCTGGTGCTTTCTGTGGCATTTGGAGGAAGGTCTGTCCTTCTGGTGGATTTGGTTGTCGGGTTTATTTGGAGCTTGCTCAGATACAGTTATGCTTCTTCACAGTTACAAATATTGTGGGAAGATATTAGGAAAATTTGGGGGAGATTACCAAACTCATCTTATAGATGAAGCTGATGTTAAACGTTTGACCCTGGAAACGCTTCTGGTTTGAACAGATTCTAACTGTGATTTTCATACAGGAAAAAAAAAAAGTAGTTTCAGTGCCGATTTTAAACAACTGTACAAAAAAAAAGATGTGAAACTTTCCATTTAAAAACAGACAATGTGAGAAAATTGATCACTAGCGTTCTGCTGCTCAAGTTTGCTTCAAGGTTTATAATTCATACTCGTATATCACATTCTGTGCAGCTGTGCCTCTTCGCCATAAGGCTCCTTCCTGCAACTGCTTGGCAGCTGCAGAAAAAGTCAGTCTTTCAGAACGGAAGGGATCATCTAGGTCGCACATGAGAAAAATACAGTCCTCAGGCCAGAAGTTGGCTCTATCAGTGTAGGGTTGGACCCAGTTAGGCAAACACGAGGAGTAAAGGAAATTAAACTATAAACGTATATATATTTTTTTTTTAAAAAGCTGGCGTGGAAGCAAAACTTAGATACGCTGGAGAACAGCACATGGAGGACGAAGACATGTGGAGAACCAATACAATGAGCCGCTGGTGACAACAGACCATTTAAATAGCAAACTGAGGGAGCGAGGAAAGTGGAACACCTGGGCTGATTACTAATTAGGAACAGGTCAGGGTGGCAGACAAACTGAACAAACACAGAGGAAGCAGGAAGCTTACTGGGGGTAAATGGAAGATGGCACAAGAAACACTGGGAACCAAAACCTAAACCAGAGTACTCAATAAAACCCCAAAACTGAAATACAAAACCCTAAACCATTAAAACAAAGCAGGACCCAAAGTTCAAAAATAAAACATAAACCATGAAAGCAATAATCGTAAGAAGATGACCTAAAGTAAAATAAAATCACAAAAAAGCACAGATATGACGGAAGCATAGGCGTCGCAACCATTATATGTGAAGGTCGCCCCCCCCCCCCCCCCCCCCCCCCCCCAAAAAAACACCCTTCATCTACCCCCCCCCCTTTTACTATGAAACATTAGTTCAGTCGGCGCAGTTTCTTTCTTTGTGAACGAATCCATTCCACTTGATTAATAGGAGAATAATCAAGCCACTAAAACTCCACTCCAGGTTTTCCTGGTTACCCCCAACCCACTGTTTCTGTGCGTCTCCTCCTGCCTCAGCAGAAAATGTGCACAGGTGGAGGAGATGGAGACACCTCTGTGTTGATCACTCGCCAGTTTAGCGAGCTTAGTGTGGGAAGTTGTTGACCGGGGGGGGGTTGATCATAAACATATATACATGGTTAGGAGGATGCTTGAGAGGAGCGCTACGTAGCATCTTAGCTTAGCAGTAACTGTGACGCTGTAAGACGCTGCAGGTGTAAGAGACGCTGGGTTAAGGTGCATTAAAGTTGAAATGTCTTTAAAAACCCCACACCTTATTGTCCTCAAGCTTTGTGAGAAACATCATTTAGATGAGTAGCGTTGAACACAAGTAAAAGTCCAGTGGTGATGTTTTTTATTTCTCTATAAGCACAAAAAGTGTCGACCTGACGCTCTGTATTAAAGTGTGTTAAAGTTAAAATGTCTCTAAAACCCACAGCTGGATTTACACAAACTTGGTGAGAAACATGTTTTAAATGTGTGGAATTAAAGGAAATCTAGGTGAAATGTTGCTTGTTTTTGTACACTAGTGTAGCCTACACTGTTTATTTACGCGCGCATACACACATCATTGTGTCCCCCCCACATTACGATTGCTTCTGATGCCCTTGGACAGAAGTGACCACTGAACCTATAACGCTTGATGTCTGTAAACAAAAAACAAAATAACAAATCCATTTAAAAAAAAATACTAATGCAACTTAAAATAAGATTATATTAATATTATATTACGCCTATGTGCAGTGTGTTTTTTTTCAATATCAGGCTCTCTGTCCTCGACCAAGGAGTGAGAGTTTGATAGGAATTTTTTTGCCTCCAAATCCTATAAATGTGTCACTTTCAGTACTATTTTGTCTGTCTAAACAGGTCTCACTTGTAAATGAGGCTTCGAGGCTCAATGTGATTTATCTGTGTAAATAAAGGTTGAATGAATGAACTTAAAATGCAAAAAATATCTTAGGTTTTCACACCTTTCTGGACCAAAACAAGACTCAAAGTTTTATTTTACAGGCTAATAAGGTCAGTGTCTTCTTTCGTAATTGTGTAAATGATGCTATGTTAGGTCTCGTAGAGCTGGGTAACATATTATATCCACATTTTGATTTAATCTGGAATTTTGATGTTCCTCTAGAAACAAAACACGGCCACCCTGATTTAATCTGTACTCACTGCAGTTCGTCTCACCTTGAATATTTCTGGTTCTTTGACATCAACCTGGGAGAAAATCTGCTGCTCTTTCCTTCTTTGCAGTATCCGGATCCCTGAAGAGGCGCGCCGAGGTGACGACATCCAAAGGACCAGCAAGGCCAGCATGAACCCAGCTACAATCCCATGCACCACAGCACAAACACATGGAGGCACTGGAAGGACTAAATACCAATACACCAACTGTGTTAAGAAAACAAGGCTGGTCACAGGCACATTCTCTACCTCCTCTTCCAACCTTCCGTCCTCTACATCAAGTTCACTACACAAACCAATGCTCCCAGTATGGGGCTGCTGGGAAAAGGATCGGTCCCCATCTGGAGTCTCTGTGTCAGTACACACCTCAAAGTCTTCGCTGTACAGTTCACAGAAGTCTTCATCTTCCTGTCGAGCGGCGAGGGCCGACATTGAGCAGCGTCCCAGCATGAGGGAAGGAGACTTGTGGAGAGTGGATGTTGAGGTTTGATTGACAGATGGCGCTAGTGACAGTGATGCGAAGGAGAAAAAATTAGTATCGTGGCCCTTTTCTGTCAGGGTTTCTTCATCTTCGTCACCCTCAGCCCCTTCCTCCTTGATGCTGTAGTTGTTGGTTTCCGTGTGTCCATTAACCGCTGTTGCTCCACTGAGCTCTGATGCACTGGAGGACAGTGATTTGGCACGAAGGGCAGCACTTCCAGAAGTCCCCCCACTAGTCTCATCCCCCATAATCTTACAAAAAAGCTGCAAGGGATCTGACATCACTTCTGACAATCTCCTCTTGGTGTCTTCTATCTTGGCCTCCACCTCTTGGACTTTGAAGAAGGACCTCCCATCTGGAGACATAATGGGGGAGGAGGGGGCTGTTTTGGAGTCTCCGCCTGCTTGAGTGACTGCGACAGGACAGGAAGATAACCGAGGCTGGGAGAACTGCTTGAAAAGCTGCATGTTGCGAGGTGGGGTCCGATGGGAAGATTGGACTTGCTGATGTTGAGGGTGGTGATGAAGAGGCCCTTCCTGGTGTTCGGCTCTGGAAGTGTCTGTGGACAGAGACTTTACAAAAGACTTCATTAAGTGTCTGTGTCGTGCATGTGGTGGTAAGACGGTGGTGGCTGCAGGAGCAGCTTCTCGAGAGTCGACATCATTAGACAAAGACCTAACGAGGCTGAGAAAAGGCTTGGAGGACGAGAGGGCTCCAGACTTGCAGGGGGAAGAGGAACTTGTGGATGGGGGCTGGGCTGGTCGATCAGAAGGCCAGGAGGAGCTGGTGGGAGGTGTGGAGCTTAAGTGGGAGTGGGCGGAGACAGAGGTAATAGACATAGCATGAGACGATGTGTGCAGGTGGGGGTCTGATAGCTGCACAGACAGGGTGGTTGATGAAACAGGCAGTACAGCAGCTCCAGAAGTTTCCACACTGGACGAGTCAAACAGTAGCTCCTCTTTTGCCTCCAAGCCTTTGGCGACATACTGGTCGTCTGTCCCTGTCTCTCGAATCTGAGCTCCCCCTGGAGCCGCAGGCCCTACAGGTATCCTATAGAGCTCCTCGTCATCGTCTTCCTCCTCTTTCCCCAGAGCGGAGAAATGTATGGTGATGGTGTCTCGAGAGTGAGAACGCTGCACTTGCAGCTTGGGTCCAGACGGGTGACGTAGGGGCGGAGTGTCGGCATGCTGGCCACTTCCCTTTTTGCTGCTGCTGCCCTGAGTGCTCATCATCACCCTGCACAGGGCTCACAGCCTGGAAGAAACACATGGACACAACAGCAATACACTGTTAATGAAAACACCACATCAGCGGTACAACACATTAGAGCAAATATAGAGAGAGTAGTAGTGATGTGGTGAGATCCCTACGTGCCACGAATACTTGTCTAGGACAAAAAGGGAAGTCTTGCTCCTCAATTCATCCTAATACAAGTCGAATAGAAAGGTATGTCCTTGCTTCTCGGCTTATTAGCCCTCATTAGGTAAAGATGAACCCAGCACGCAGGGTCAGGTCTCTTTCTCTACTCGCCCAAAACTCAATCACTTGGCTCACGACAGCATGATACATGATTAATGAGTTCCTTCAAAATAAATCTGCTTTTTGGAGAAAGTTCATCAGGCTTTCAGCCATAGTTTACTCCACCTTCCAAAAGGCCCAGAAAGAATGACTAACGTACAAGAATCTCTGCTGTAGCTGCTAGTAAAGAATACTTCACCTTTGGCCTGTACCTATTTCTGCTCAAACGACCTATTCAAGCACTGTTTGGTCTGTAATCTGTGATCACAGGAGCTGAATAATCAAGACAGATAAGATTTTGTTTCTTAAACATACATACTGAATCTCACTCTATCTCCACCGCTTGCACAAAGACAGTCACATCTGGTTCTACAAAGTCCAAAACCAACAGAGAGTGAGACTTGAGGATATCCATCCATCACTTTTCAGCTCCTCCAACAAGAGCCCCGAGGTATTTCCAGCTCAGAATGGATACAGTAATGAGGTTGTTTGGACTGTGGTGGTAAAATTGGAGCTGAGACAAAATATGAATCTATCAGTGCCATCTCCTTATCAGCCCCCACTTATGGTCATAAGATCTGGATCACAACCAAAAGAAATGAAATTCCTGTCTGCAGGATGTCCATAAAACCTCCAGAGGGAGGCCATCTAGACGCATCCCAATAAGATGCTTGAACAGTCTATTGAAGTGGTAGTAGCTGAGACTGATTTGAAGTCATCCACCATAGTTGACATAAGCCAAGACAAAAATGTCTCTAACTCACTTACAACTCATTTATAACACACACTGAGCATTATCTTGTAAGAGACTCAGCAAAACAGTATTTTGAAAGTTTCACCAAAACAATGACAACACAATAATTTCTCAACATAACTTGATCTTAGTCTAAATTTCTGTCATAACAAGCAGCGGGCGGGTGATATGCATTCCTTCAAGGAAGCTTGAAGGCCTTTAATTTAATCTCTAGATTTGTCCTCCTTTTGGACAATGTGTGTCTAATTTAAAGTATTTTACAACAGTAGGTTCTGAAAAAAGACATCATAAGTTGGGATGTGGGCCACCTGTACAAAGGGATCCAGTCTCTGTCAATGATGCGCCCCCTCAACCTCGAGCTGCACATCAGTTTTTACATTTTATTTGTGCTTTTTGGAATCTTAATCAATGCATTCAATTCATAAACAATGATTAAAAAAGGGGAAATTCATACAAAAAAGTTATGTTTTAGTAATCAGAGCAATGAGCTGTCATGCAGCAAGTTGGGTTAGCATTACCAAACAGCCAGACAAACATGTGTACACACACACACACACACACACACACACACACACACACACACACACA